ATTGCACGGTCACTGCGGTCGAGATTTTGGTGATGACGTAGTTTTCATAGTTTTTGGAAGGCATATGCCACCCATAGGCATATATTTGGCCATGAATTTTTTATTCTGCTTGTGGGCGAGAAACTCGCACTATTGTGTATATGCACAAGTTCCGTTGCAAACAGAGTCTCTTCTCTCTCCGTTCTCAAACAATGTGTTCATCGCACAGTCCTTATCTATCATTACTTATAATAACGCGCTAAGGATGTTTACGTGACTTTGTGTGTCTGTGTGTCTGTGTGAGAGTGTGTCTGTTACGAAATTCGTAGAGCGTGTTCCAGCCAACCTCCTGGGCTCAAATTTTGCACAGGGCATGCTGTGAATGTGCGTGTGTCGTAGGTTACGTTTCGTAATGTTCGGTATCGATTTGATCAATTTTTTGTAAAGTTACATTCGAGGGTGGAAGTTGGCACAGGGGGGGGGGTACGCGAGCATGCTGATTACGAATATATTAGGCTCCCGCCAGAGTGCCGAAGTTATGCCAGCGCTACGCCAGCATTTCGATCGATACACGTGAATTTCTTGGGGACGTCAGCTAGCCCCGCCCCAACGAAATACACGTGTATCGATCGAAATGCTGGCGTAGCGCTGGCATAACTTCGGCACTCTGGCGGGAGCCTTACTGACCGAGCCGGGCAGAGCCTGATTTGCCAGCTAGCAAGTAAATAAAATTTACGAGGATATAAGAATGATTAGTTTTAGGAAATACAAGTTTCGCTGAACATCAAAAAATACTCCAAAACTTGTGATTATGGGACGCGACAATGAGGTTTATCATCCTACTATAACAACGCGCTAAGAGTGTTTACGTGTTTTTGTGTGTTGTCTGTCTGAATGTCTGTCTGTCATGAAATTCGTAGAGCGTGTTCCAGCCAACGTCCTGAGCTCAAATTTTGCATAGCACTTGCTACTGGCATGAAAGTCCAACATGCAAAAGCACGAGCAGATTCGTTTAGTGGATCCCTTAGAAACTGCGAGTCAAACGGATCCACTTTGCATTTGGGCCGCAAAACTGGGTCCGTAATTCCACTTTTTGTAGAGTCGTGAATGTTTATGCCAAGCAAATGTGCAAGCCATTAACTTAGGCCCAAAAAAGTGATCAAATGTCCATTACTTTACAAAAACGGCGCCAAAAAGTATCGGTTGCTTAAATGGTCAATTTGCCAACCTTTTACCAGAGCATTTGACAAGATTTTTGCACAAAGATGTAGCTCACGGTGACTGCTGTTCTTATTGTAAATGTCAAGACCACGGGAAAATCAAAAGCCTATAAAAATTTGCGTTTGTTTTCCTGCAGAAAGTGTCATCCAGCAAAATCACCGATTTCACATAAAAAAGCTTTCGAAATGAGTAGTTGTTTACATATTGTTCGTGATAGTCGGCATTGCTCGGTGAGTTCCAATGCCATCATTGTGCGAGAGTTGAGCAGGGCCTAGATAGTGGAGCCAGTGCGAGCCTCTGCGAAGCAGAGGTGACGCACTGGTATATATATAAAACTCAAAAATTGTCAGTTTGGAGGGTATGTGAGTTATAGAGACGCGCCACTCAACCGATTCAGCTGAAACTTTGCACACATATGTTTTCGACCCTTGCGCAGATGATAGGCTACTTTCTGCGGCGATTCGTTGCGTCCTTCTATCGATTTATTGATTTATTTACATTTTCCTAAGGAATCGAAGGGTTATCATGTTCAATCAAGCATTTTCCATACTCATGTAAAGGAGAGCGGATCTACCTAACTTCGCTTGGCCTTTGGCAAGGGACAACTTCCAGCTGCTGCGCACCATTTTGAAGTGAGTCATGGGCTTTTTTCTGGGCAAAATTAGCACATTCGCTGCCCACTGGCATCACGGCATTATTATCAGTACTAATGCACCTTTGTTCTTCTTTTCAATAAGAAAAGATTGAATTTGTGTTATTTCGACCTCTCAGCACCTTTTTGTTGCATATTTTATCTATACACAGTCTTCCCATATTTAGAGTAGTATGCCAATTTTGCGTCGGAAAAAGCCAATTATTCGTGATGGTGTGCAGCTGTTTCCAAATAGGCTATCTAAAGATAGCCTATTTGGAAACAGCGTTTGAAGCTAATTCAGATTATATATATGTCCCTTGCTAAAAGCCCGAGCTAAGTAAGGTAGCTGTTAGATAGATTGTTAGATGGATTAAGGCGAAAATATTGTTATTGGAGAAACATTTCTTCGACTCGTTGCTTACGGAGCTTTCATTTCATCACAAATAGTTCGGTGTTCATTGTAATATCAGTGATAATGCTAAGGAAGCGGCGCCAAAATGGCAGCGAGATGATGAATGGGCGACAAAACAAAACAGCAAAACTGACTCTATAGGCGTGCCGCATACCATCCACTTTGCGATCATACATGTGAATGAGTTACCCCAAGATAAATGAGTACACAGGTGCGATAAGGTGAGAATGACTCCTCTAGGGTGAAGGGGGTCACAGTGGTCTCAGCCTATCCAAGGTGAGGGGTGTTTCACTTGGTAGAAAAATTATAAAATGTCGACGGGGGGGGGGCATGGTGTTTTCTCATTATTTTTCCTAGTCAAAGTTTCATAATTTATTCCTTACCATCACTGGTTATCTTTTTTCTGAATTGTGAACCGATGTGCTGCTGGATTAGCACGCAATTATATTTCTGACAAGCACCTTGCATTTTTCCAACATTTCCTTTTCCTTTTTTACATCACCCTGCCTGTTTTTGGAATTACCATGGAAGATGTGCGTGCGAGAACCTTTGTTTCGGAAAGGGTTAGACAATTTGTAAACATTTACGAATTTTTTTTCAAGAAGAAATTCATAATTTCTGTAGATGAACAGCAACGTCAGCAAGGGAAATGTTTTTAAGACTACCTTGTCCTAGGGTCCGTTATAAAAAGTGGCGAGTGAAGAGTGGGTGAAACTTTTATAATGGAAGTGCTCAAGTACAGGCTTTTTTACCATTGTAAAAAGACGTCAACTTGAGCACCCCCATTATAAGAGTCTCACCCACCCTTCACCCGGCACTTTTTATAACGGACCCTAGGCAAAGTATATATTTTCTGAAAGCAGAGGACGAGACGGTTCTAAACGGTGACCATCTCGGCGTACAATATGTTCATCTACGAAATTTATGAATTTTTTTATGTTGAAAACTCGAAAATCTCCAAAAATCACTAGGACACCCCTCACCCAGGCACTTTTTTTTAATGGACTCTAGGCAAAGTAAATATTTTCTGAAACGGAGGATAAGACGGTTCCAGTGGTAACCATCTCGGCGTGAAAGATGTTCATCTACGAAATTTATTAATTTTTTTTACGTTAAGAACTCGAAAATTCCCAAAAATCAGTTGGCACACCCTTCACCCTTTCTTGAACGGATCTCAGATATGCTATAAGCTTTCTGAAAGCGGAGGACGAGACGGTTTCAGTGGTGACCATCTCGCCGTAAAAGATATTCATCTACAAAATTTATGAATTTGTTTATGTTAAAAACTCCAAAATGTCCCGAAATCATTACTCACAGCCGTTACCAAGCACTTTTTTCAACAGACTCCTCCATTCCTGCACATAAACAATTCACGTACAAATAGCTCCTTTGCTTAACCTTACCTCACTGTTGATTTTTTTCTCGGCTTTTGGTGAAGGGGGTCACCTTGGTCCTGGCTCAGGGGTGAAGAGGGGGTGAGAAAATTCTCACACTATCGCACCTGTGAATGAGTATATTTCTATGCAGCTTACTGTATGTCAAATGATTGCAGCGTTACATAATTTACCTCCTTATTGGATGCAGTATAGTGCAAGCACTCAATAGGTCAGAACTGTCGAAAGGATAGAAGATTGGGCGTTTTCAATACCCTTCGTCTTTTTAACACGTTTCGGACCGCGAAATCCCGCGCGGCGAAAAAGAGTATTTTTTCAACCGTCAGCCAACAAAGGGACCTTATTTTGAAGACTATGTGCTACATCTGTAATGACCATGTCGGATAAGCTCCATACCCAAAGTTCTGAGTGAATTCGAAGTGTTTGAATTTTGTCGCCTGAGAAGGACTTCTGTGCTTCTCTGAAAGATAGGAACAAGAACTCAGTTTCTAATTGTATCCAAAAGTATCTATGTTGTACACAGTACACATTATTACTGAAACCATGGCTTTTCTCTTTGATATTGAAGCAAAGGAAAGTTGCGACGTCGCACCCTTCGTTCGCGTTGCCGCATTTCGTCTCAACTGTTGTTCGATTTGTGCTCATATCTCCTAAACAGATATGGCGGCACAACTCTACAGAATAACTTAAAAAGTAGAAGCTTAGGCCTTTGACTTGATAATCTTGGACTAAAAGAAAACCTCCTGTAAACGTCAAGAAGATCCTTCAAAGCAGGGTGCTGCACCATGTGCAGCACCGGTCCGAAACGTGTTAAAGTGACTTGCGGTGGCCAGCCGATTACCGGGTCAGTGTTTTTTATCTCCCTAGACTCTATACCAATTTATCGTCTCCGGAGGGTAGAGGGCTTGATTGGCCCAGTGGGAGATCGAATATGGGTCCGACCCGATCATAGCGGCGCCTCATACAAGTACGCCACTCGTCCCCCAAAAGCAGAACTATTGGCAAATCTGTTCTTGAATGGAAGGGATGCTTGCTGGTACCGGATGTTGGAGAAAGTTTAAAAAAGCACAGCGGAATAATACTTATCCCCCCAGTAAACATTAGCCCCGGTGGGATTCGAGAAGCTGTATAATATTGTTATGACTTTGAATTCGTAAGTGATTTAGTTGTAGTTGCAGTTTATACCGTCCCTCCAAATTGCCTCCCAACATATCACAGTCCGAAGATATTTATCTTGATTCCGTTAGAGAAAGACCTTGGAGATGAAACCAAAATACTGTTCATTCAAATGGTCCGTTCCTTTATTTACAAGAATGATAAGTGCGAGGAGTTCTTTGTGAATTCGCCGCAGTAGTAAAGCATGTTAGCAATCGAAATCACCAGAAATGATTTCAATGATACTCTACATTCGAGTAAGGTTTTGAAAGTATCGCCTTCTCCAGAGAAAATTGGTGAGTGCGTAAGTGAACCATCCTATCAGAAACCGCCTCAAGACTTACAAGGGAATGGTCAGAAGTCGAAGTGGCCAATTCATACAAGCTACATGCCATTAGATGCAGCATAAAACGCTGACTCTAAATCTGTCTTCCTTATCTGCAGAGCGCTTTTATGGACGAAATTATAAGCCGTTGAAGGCCATTATTTTGCTAAGAAATTGGGCATGTAAAGTGCAAACTTGGCCGTACAAAGCCATTCTTAGCTCACTGTCGGACCAAAACTTGCAACTAGGTCACATCATATGACCCGTACTTAGAGTTGAGCTGAAAGGGCAATAATGCGCCTAATTTTGCAATTTTTGTATACGGTTTTTTCGCAGTAAAGCTGCTCATAACTTCGCCTACAAAGGCGTTCTGCAGATATGGAAGACAGATTTGAAATCAGCATTTTATGCTGCATCAAATGGTATGCAGCTTGTTTGGTTTGGCCACTTCGACTTCTGACCATTCCCTTGTTAGGAAGACGCACAATGGATCTCTATGGGTCACTGATTTACATCAGAAAGCTAGAGCTTGGTTAGCTAATATAGAGGTGTGCAGCAACATTTTGTCGGCATCTGATTAGGTAAGCATCAGTTTAATCCTGCATTTATTTTCGAGTTCTTGATTCACTAACGCATTGAGCGTCTTCTTAAGTCTCAGGGCAGTTTTTGATAGGATAGTTTACTTATGCATTCGACACTTTCAGACTCTGAAGGAGGCAATACTTCCGAAACGTTAGCCGAATAAAAGATATACCAGTCTCGGTGTGCAACTAAACAAACAAAAACAAGCTTCTAGAATATACCGAGATCAAGCGATAGTCGAACTTGGACAACACAACCGAACTTCACCATAAAACCTAAATCTCAGCAAAGTGTGACAGGACTATGAATAAAACGTCGAACCTTGCTACATGACAGTTTTGAGTCAATAGTATATATACATATATATCTAATGATGTTCTTTTGGTTGTTCCTTGTTGCTACGTAGCACCTTTTTCAAAGTAAGATTCACGACTCTTTTTTCAGCGTGCTTGAGGACTCATTAGCTTGAGGAAACTCCTAATTACTATTATTATTGATGACAAAATCAATTTTCTATGATCTTCGTACTTGTAAGAGAGGGTGCCATGAATTGATATGGGATGCAGTGAAGAAAGACTTGTCGTCGGTTGAACTTGCAGATTTTTAGAGCAAGTTTTTTTTAATATGGCAGAATGAGTTCTTACTATGGGACTCATGTGAAGTTTACTAGAAAAACTTAGGAGTCGAAGCATTTTTATGTCCAGTATTGAAAGACAGTACTTCTTTCTACCCCGTATTGAAAATGTAAGAGAATCGCTCTGGAATGTGTTTTTAAACGCTAATTTTTTTCTGCCTATGTTGACACACTGGCAGTGGCATGCCTGCATACAAAAAACGCTTACATGCGCAGAAAAGCAATTTAAGCCAAACGTTGCCCTACCAAAGTTTCCTCGAGAAACTTATTATGGAGCTATTATGTATTCTTTATGAAACCCCAAAAAAGTGAAGAAGCTGTCATTTTTATTAGGTTGTCCCAAAATAAAACCGTATCTCTAAATGAAATCAAATTGTACTTGTTATCTGCAGAATTGGGGTACCATTCGATAGAGCGAAGCAAATAGTACCCAAATGTTTTTGGTTGATTTTTTCCGGAGTTCGAAATGCCATATTTTTCGGATTTTCATGTAAAACTTGGTATTTCTCGATTATAAGAGCACATACAAGGGTAAAGTTTCAAGACGATACTTATTAAGGCCTGTAGTATACAATGACATGTGTGGGAGGGGCTGGGGGCAGTTTGCCATTTTCAGACTATCTCTTTTTTCTCGTTTTCGAAGTTTGGGAAAAATCCAGTAAAGGCATATTTGCGTAGGGTGTATGTCGAAAGGCGCGCTTCGGCAGTCGTCATTGCCAGGAGAGATTTGCCTCTACAAGCGAGGTTTCCAAACTCTTGAAGTTTTGTCATCATATGAGAAATAGTAACAGAGGATTACTAGTTGAATCCCGGAAGTACTAAACCAGTTTCGAACTTTTTCCTGGTTTTTCTGGTTAGTGACGATCGATCAATACGCACCATTCGACCGTCTCTCATAATACTAAGTGTCTACTGTATGATAACCAAGTTTGAGTTCCGAACGATTATCTTCGCAAAAATCAATTTTCAAGTAATAATTTTTTTCGTTTGCTGCTCGAAACTTTACATGGATCACGACATAGGCGGACCTTTTGCGGTCATTTTGTAGAGCTTGTTTCGCTCTATCGAAAGGTATCCCAATGTTGCCAAGAAAACAAAAACAGTTTGATTCATTTAGAAATACGGTTTACTTTTGGGACAACCTAATAGTTGCTCTACTTTCCTTTTGCGCATGCACTACGAGTACAATCTGCGTGCTGTTGGCATTGATTCGACTCATTTCCCGTATCTCACTTTTGGCAACTGCATGGGATTGGACTGCATCAGTCCTGGAGCAGAGGTGAATTTCAATAAAATTATCTTCAAATATAGCGAGGCTAAGCTGCCAGATCTGCAATCTGGAACCGAATCCCGTCAGAAAAATCTCGTTCTGCTTATCTGTGGCATTTTAGGTCGAGTTCCTGAAGGAGTGTTTGCAATCAATCAATGCCACAGTGACAATAAATCCGGCGAGAGTGGATACTTTAGCGATGTTAAAAATGGAACTTTTTGAATACTGGTCTTCTGTGATTTTTGACTGAACTCATTTTTGCAGCTGGAAAATGGAAGCGCAGATATTACGCTCAGAACCATCAATCAGGAACACCCGCGACAAAAGCAGGTAATACACTTCATCACAAATTGTGACATACCTTAACCGGAATGCTCTTACAGGTGGATTTCACAATGCCTATTGGTAATCTTTATTATGGATACTTTGTCAAAGAGAGCACTCATGTAGAAGTTGGAGATTACCTTGGCGATGCATTTTCTGAAACCGTGAGCAGAAACATCCATTGATTTTATGGAGAAACCCAAACTTAAGCTTACTACTTATCCTGTGGTTAAAGTCACTACAGGTTCGTAGATGCCGCATCCAGCACGAAACCGAATGTTGACAAATCTAGGAATGAGGAGGGTAAGGCACGTACGGGATGCTTTATGGATTTTACTCTAGCTAACGTCGATCACTCTTTTTTTTAGTGTATCAAGCGTGTAGACCGGCCCAAACATATTTGCAGTATCGAACAAGTCGCTAATTTTTCAGAGTAATCACAATGAGAAATTTCACCCTACCCATTATCTTTCGCTGCCATTTCAAACAAAAAAATTATTTGTGGGGTCCATGAGCTTTTAACTAACATAGCCAGCAAGCTAACATAGTTAAATCAAGTCAATACAACTTCGCTTCAGGAGCATTTGTTTTCAAACCAGGTATCTCAATTAATCTCAAACACCATTACCCTATAGTCTAGCAGATAAGTCCGCTTTTTTGACAAGAAAAATCGATGAAAATGCACCCTCGCACCGCCAAGAATCTTGCAGATAAGTCCTCCCATCAGATAAGTCCGTCAACAGATAAGTCCGATGTTCAAGGTAGTCGTAATGGAAAGAAGAGGGACTAATTTGTAGGGCCTAATTTGTAGGGCCTGTGGCAAGTTCACCAGAAAGTCTATTCTGAGCGAAATCCCAGAAAGAGCCTGCGAATCAAGTCTCCGTTCAAAGAAAAACGAAACGGAGCTTTAAGCACCTTAATGATTATTGTGACTTCTATTAGGTTGTAAAGAAAGTTCCTGGGCAGTTTTCAAAATTTCATTTTCAAATTCATTTTTTCGCACTCGGTTTAATTATAACGACAAATATTGTATACGGTTTGAAAGAAGAAGGTTCTCAAGCCGTACTTGACCTGGATACTATACTTGGGTCCGAATCGAATAGAAATTCGATCATTCGAATAAAACATTCGAATATATTCGTATTCGAAATTCGATACTCGGAATTCTTCCATTTTCGAATAATATTCGAAACTCGAATAATTGAGAAAACGGGGTTTCGAATAAAATTCGAAACTCGAATAATCAAAAAACAGGGTTTTGAATAAAATTCGAAAACTCGAATAATCAAAAAAACGAGGATTCGAATATTATTCGAAAACTCGAATAATCAAAAAACGGAGTTTCGAATAGATTTTATTCCAATGTTTTATTGTTTATTGTTTATTCGAATGTTTATTCGAATTCGTATTCGAATGAACTCCGTAGTCAGAGCTGAGTATCAAGCTCACTTCGTCCGCGTTTTTTTTTCCGCAAAACTCGGTAATGCATCTTTTGCAACCGTTATGACCTCTGAACTGTATGGAGAGTCGCATTCTTTCGACTGCTTGCGACAGTAAAAGCAAATTGGCAGCAAATCAGCAAAGAAGCTATGAAATTTAGACTCATGTTCCGAGTTCATATATTGAAAGTGTTTTGAAATGCCTGTTTTTCTTTCTTTGCATTGCTCATGCTGTGGTACGCAAAGTCCACATAGTGAGCAGTCTTGCTCGCATAAGTTATATTGCAAAACTGCCTCTATTCGCTACCTTAGGAATTTTTGCGAATTGGTGTATTTTAAGTAAAGGAATCGCAGTTGTAGTAGAGGACTAGACGGTTTAGATCGCCGTACGCGATTTGCCAGTTACGAGATGTCTTACCCCAAATAGGGTGCGTGGCGTTAGGTACCCAGCCGAGGTGCGGGCGTTAGGTACCCAGCCATTAGTGGTATACACTAAGCCACGCCTTGGTTCTTCAACAGCGGATACCCAACGATACAGCGAACCCTAGCTGCTAGAACAGCTCACCTAGCTCGCTAAAACGCTGGCGCTTGCGACCCATAGGTGCGATAGGGGGAGCCGGGCTCTCCCCAGGTGAAGGGGGTCTCGGCTGTTCCCGACCTTCCAGGGTGAAGGGGGTATGTGAGTCTAGGGGGGAAGGAAGAGAGAAAAGGTAAAAAAGCGTGGTATGAAGAGCTCTAATTTGTACCTTATTTAGGCACAAATTAAAAAAAATTCAAAAATTTTCAAAAGAAATTAAAAAATTTTGAGAAAAATTTGATTATGAAGATCTGTGCTCCTGTTTCACTGCATCAACAAAAAACGAAAGCAATAAGGTTTATCCCAAAAGATGTACAGTTAGGAACAACTTCATTTCCTGCACATTATCATCAACAATATCACTATCGCTAACGTCAGAGACAACAAGTTCGTTGTCTGAAAAATCTTCTTCTTCCTCTAAATGGTCATCGGAGTAGAAGTACAATACCGCTCTCAGAACGTGCAAAATTTCCGTGAATGTCGCGGAAATCCCGGATTTCCGCGAAGGACCGCGAAATTTTCGGAATTTCGCGACATTTCCGGAATTTCGCGACATTCCGGGAATTTCGCGGAATTTTCGGAATATCGCGACATTTCCGGAATTTCGCGACATTCCGGGAATTTCGCGAAATTCCGAAAATTTCGCGGTCCTTCGCGGAATTCCGGGATTTCCGCGACATTCACGGAAATTTTGCACGTTCTGAGAGCGGTATTGTAGAATTGCGTGCAAAAGCGTTCTGACAAGGGAACGATCCCAACTTAAGGTGGAGAATTGGAATGAACCGCATACCATTAAATGCGTCTTGATGAGCTGATTCCAAATCTACCTTCCCTATCTGCGACAACGTTATCTGGAAGAAGTTATGAAAGGTTAAACATGTGAAGTAACGAGGGTTTTGATGCATAATTTGCTTTGAAATCCAGCTTGGAAGTGCACGACTAGCATCATATTAAGTGTACTGATTTCACGGAATGCTCACATTCAAAGGAAATGCAAATAAATGTTTTTGAACAACTAAAAAGCAACTAAAGTTCTCTGGTAAAAGCTATGAGCAATGAAAAGTCCAAATTTGGCAAATATACAGCGCAATACCTCGAAAATTAGTTGTTCAAAAACACTTATTTGTGTTTCTTTAGAGTGTGAGCATTCCTTGAAATCAGCACACTCAATATTATGCTAGTCATAAACTCCCAAGTTGGATTTTGAAGCGAATTATGCACGAAAACCCTCGTTACTTCACCTTTTTAACCATTTATAGCTTCTTCCAGATAACATTGTCGCAGATATGGAAGGCGGATTTGCAATCATCTCATCAAGACGCATGTAATGATATGGGGTTCATTCCAATTCGCCACCTTAAGTTGGGATCGTTCCCTTGTGAGTCGAAAATGGATTTGAAACTTTCTTCTTCTTCTAAGCGCTTTTGTGATTTTTTTCTTGCCCCTCTGGTAGCACCAGGAAGTCAGCAGGTAGGTGACCAGTTTCTTCATACCATCTTTTAGGATATTCCAAAAAGTCATACGGTAACAGCCTGTCTGGACCACTTAGACCAATCCTTTAGATGAAGTTTTTGGATAACAATGTGTTTAGTAGAAGGTTGACAAATCTTATATTTGCTTAGATGCTCTATTGTTGTACGACTTCTGCGTTGTGTTCTGATAACAGAGTAGATAGAAAATTTCTTTCTCCACCTCTGCCGTGCTAGTCGGAATGGAAACTAGCTTTGCTAGTAAGTCCATCAGATTTTTGCGGTAAGTAATGGGAAAAGAGCCAGATCGCATATGCTTTCGCAACACGGGAAGGATATAGTGCATACTTTTTTGAGCCTTGTCGAAATCTGGCTCCACCTCCTCTGGTCCTGTTAGCTGATTAGAAAGCTGCTCAACTTCTTCTTTAACAGCATCTGCGGAATAGCCGAAAAAAAGGAGGTACTATGCTGCGCGTTGGTTTTTTTTTTCAATATCATAGGTCATAATGTCAAAAGGCGAACAACTTCCAAAAACATAAAGCACAGAGTTGGGTTCGCACTCCAGCCGGGATCTAAGTGCAGTAACTATGCTTTGTACTAACACCTTCCTTTTGTTCATATCCATGTTTGTGAATACAGCAGCCTTGACTTCTTCAGCAACCTGAAGATCAGCAATGGACTTCCTGGACATTTCCTCATTACTAGGACAATCTGCTTGGATTCCTTATGCAAGAAATCAGAGAGTTTCGCTCAATTGTCAACTCTGTATCAATACAACATTTTCGTCGGCTTAAGGTTCTCATGCTGCCTCGCCGTTGAACTGGAACACATGCGAGTTCTGCGATTTTGTAAAGTATTCGGCCTGCCATTTCCTCTTCAAACTGCCAACCTTTCCAAAAACATTGAGGGTTTTTTTAATAACATGTTATTCTTCTGAATGTCCTAGAGTTTTTGATTCATTGAAACCAACCATTATCTACAAATTATTTAAGGTGAGTCTAGAGCAGCGTTTTTACGAAAGTGACCTTCTTCAGCACTAGGTTTGCAGAGTATAGATTCCAGAAATGGGCGGGTTTTTGTGTGAAGGTGTGGAAATTCACCAATCTCCCATAGTTTTTTGAGTGTGTGCTAATAATGATGGCATAATGTCAATGAAAAGCGCATTTTTTACCAAAAAAACATAAACATATAACAACGATAAGCACGCTCAAATAGACGCGTTCGCTCACGTTCCCGTTAGTGCTGATAACGATGTCAATCCACAGCACATTTTTCACTATTAACTTGCTCCACCTCGCTCTTATTAGGTCGTCCAGAAAGTTTTTGCGCACGATCTTCAAAAATTCATAACTTCTGATTTTTCCAACCGATTTGACTGCTTTCACTTTTATGTAAAAGGGTAAGTCATGCTCTTTATAATGACATCTCAGCTGCTTAGTAATGGTCATCTGTTGCATAGATAGGAGCGATAGAAGAAAAATGGTAAAAATTTTAATTTTCTGTGTAGGGTCATAAGCAATCGGAGACTTGCAACAAAAATCGGAGCAGTCAGTACTGTAGGTTCTTTCACCAGCTCTTTCTAACAGTGCAAAGTTTGCGCCGATTGAGCGTCTACATGAAAAGTTATGATTTCCCTGAAAAATGCCAAAATAAATCAAATTCGCCTTCTTGTATTGCTT